GAGGATGAGCTGGGGGTGATAGGAGGGAAACTAGGGAGACTAGTGCTGGGAAATGTACGCGAGTGGAAGGACACGTGTTGGAACACTGCATGACTAAAATCTATTCACGAGAGTAGATGAAGGACCAAACGTGATAGCCTCTCAGTATCTGTATTGCAAACCATGATGCCCAAAAGGAGAGAGTGTGGGGGGAGTTGTCTGCCATAGAGGCAGGAAAAGGGGTGGGATGAGGTTGGAGGGGTAGGATACTGGGGATATTGGTGGTAGAAAATGTGCACTGGCGAAGGGATGGGTGCTCCATCATTGTATGACTGAAACTCAAACATGAAAGCTTTGAAGTGCTGCTCACAGTGATTCAATAAAACACAACACAAACAAACAAACAAAAAACACCTAGTCATGAACAGCTTTGTAAGGGTCTGTCTCACAGTGATTCAATAAATAAAAAAATATTTAAAAAATTTTAAAGGAAAAAACAAAACAAACAACCAAAAATTCATCTCTTGCTTCCTCCCACTTCCCTGTAAGGGGCGGAGCGATAGTACATGGATGAGGCACAGGCCTGGCCTGCAGCTGACTTGGGCTCAATCCCCGGCACCGGTCCATCCCCGGAGCAAGAGTGAGGTTAGCCCTGGTGGGCCTGAGCATGACCAGCTACACCCCAGCTGTGCAGGACCAGTACCATGTCCTGATAGGCTCGCTGTAAGGCAGAAAAGGGAATGTCTGATCTGCAGCTCACGCTTCAGGAGGAAGCAGAAGGAACAGCCAGCCAGGCCAGCAGAGAATTGCCTGAGCACTTCTTGGGAGACGCCCTACCCCCCTAAAACAGCTGCAGTGCTTCTTGTTCCGAGTCTAATGACCGATGACACATGAGGAATACTCTCTACACCAAAACCCAGGTGACACGGCCGGCTTGGAGCTTGGGTCCCACCTGAAGTGGGCAGTCCTGCAGTCCGGCCAAGTGGCCAGGACCAAGGCGGGAGCGTGTGCTCACTCTTCTGATCCCAGTCTTGATGTCTCCAGGGCCAGACAGATGACGTCCCCAGGGCCATCTGGTCCCGGATGGGCCCCGAGGGAGAGCCAGACAGCCCTGCACAGGCCCAGCTGAAGATGAAGCGCTAATAGGATTATTCCCACAGCCACCGTCAGTCTAGACGGCTGTCCTCAAGGCCAGGGGCACTGAAGGGAAACATCCCACAGGATGTCTTGATAGGATACTGGATGAAGCCCAAAGCCCAGACTGTGAGGGGAGGAAGAATAAAGACGGGTGGAGAAGTGGTTCAGAGGGGTGACAGGATGCTTTGCTCTCCAGGAAGGTCCCAGGGTTGACCCCCAGCATAGCCAGGAGTAACCTCCCCCCCCCCCCCACCACCACCACCACCACAGCACCCAGCTGGGACTAGCCCAAGGGCACCACCAGGGGCAAAACTCACACACACACACACACACACACACACACACACACACACACCTTGAAGTGGGCTTGTGAGGTCAAAGGCATAACTCCATGGCAAAGCACATGTTTCACATACGAGAGGCCCGGATTTGACCCCCATCACGGGGTAGAGGGAGTGGATGATTCAATAAAGAAATGTGAAGAAAATTCTGAGTCGAGGGACAGGAGAGAGTGGCAGGAGGGAGGCACTTGCCTTGCACGCAGTGATGCCCACTTCAATCCTGGCATTGCAGACAGGCCCCGTGCCACTGGGGGTCACTCCTAAGCTAAGGGAGCGGGGGGATGGGGGGGCGCTGAGTGCAGGCTTGGAGTGCAAGAGGCCCAGGCCCAAACCCTACACAACACTTTTCCCGAACACTGCTGGGAGGGACTCCAAGCACCCGCTGTAAGTAGCCCAAGACCAGGAACAAAGCAAGAACCAAGCCCTGGGGAAGAAGGCCTGGGCAGAGCTCAGCGGAGCCTCTGCCTTAAGAGCTTGAGGCTGTGTCTTCAATGTCCCGCACATCTACCCCCCCCCCGCCCTGCCCCCACCATGCAGCAGGACCCCTAGCACAGAAGTGCGCCCTCTCCAGGACTCCCGGTGCTCCAAGGCGGGGAAGGGTGTGCAAGCCAGATGCCAGCCGAGGGCAGGACTTCCCTAAATGTCATAGCAACAGCTGTGGGAAGGGATGGAGTGGGGAGAACCATCTCTTTTTATTATTTTTCTATATTTAAAAAAAAATTTTATTGTAGTTCACAATATTTGGTTACTTTTATTATTCAAACACCAATCCCACCACCATTATACCTCACTCACAACCACTATTACTTTGGATGTTTCCGTCCTAAGCCCCAACTCCTGCCCCAAAGCAGAACTGAAATCATTTATTTTGTATTATTATGAGAATCTGCTGAGAATGCTAGAAAAAAGTATTCTTAGAGGAAAGAATGTGAAGATTGCTGCATTTCACCCAGGGGCCATTAAACCCTTCTCTAAGCGATCACTAACATGTTGTTAAAGGCTGGCGCTGGACTGATAGCACAGCGGTAGGACGTTTGCCTAGCATGCAGCCGACCTCGGTTCGATTCCCAGCATCCCACATGGTCCCACGAGCACCGCCAGAAGTGATTCCTGAGTGCAGAGACAGGAGTGATCCCTGAGCATCACTGGGTGTGACCCAAAAAGAAAAAAAAAAATTAAAGGCTGAGTCTTATATATATGTATAATACATATTATATAATATATAATAAAAATGGGCTGGAGCGATAGCACAGCGGGCAGGGCGTTTGCCTTGCACTCAGCCAACACGGCCGACCCGAGTTCGATTCCTCCGCCCCTCTCGGAGAGCCCGGCAAGCTACCGAGAGTATCTCGCCCGCACGGCAAAACCTGGCAAGCTCCCTGTGATGTATTTGATATGCCAAACACAGTAACAAGTGTCACAATAGAGACGTTACTGGGCCCGCTCGAGCAAATAGATGAACTACAGGAGGAGAGTGACAGTGATAATAAAAATATATATAAATATATATATATATATTTTTAAGATATATATATATATAGCCTGCCAGTTTGTCCAAAACTGGCAGGCTACCAAATGTAGCCTGCCCACACAGCAGAGTCTGGCAACCTCCCCGTGGCGTACCCAATATGCCAAATACCAGTAACAATGATGGGTCTCATTCTCCTAAAGAGCCTTGAATATAATCTCAGGGCTAGGATGAAGGAGACGTTACTGGGGCCTGCTCAAGGCAATCACGATTAACAGGATGATTTGTGATTGTGATATATATATATATATATATATACATATATATATATATATCTTTTTAAAAAAATTGTGTATTTCCCTCTAAGGTTGGTTGCCCCCTGCTTTGAACCCTGTCAGATGTGGTGCAGTAATCCTGGAGTATGGGTAGAGTATGTGGTTCGAAGTATCCCCCAGCCACGTGGTCCAGGAACAGATGCATCTGTGGGTGGGTGAAGCTGGGCCGGAACGTGTGGGGAGGGGCCTTGAGCGTGGTGGCGGCTGAGCGGAGCAAGTTTTCAGCCGCCTGGGCTGGGTTCTTGGGATGGGGAGGGGTCTCACCTGCCCCATTTCGGGGCACCCAAGTGGAACAGACTGGCACAGGGTCTAGTGGCAGAACCATTTCTTTTTTTTTATTTTGGCTTTTTGGGTCACACCTGGCAATGCACAGGGGTTCCTCCTGGCTCTGCACTCAGGAGTTACTCCTGGTGGTGCTCGGGGGACCATATGGGATGCTGGGAATCGAACCCGGGTCGGCTGCGTTCAAGGCAAACGCCCTACCCACTGTGCTATCGCTCCAGCCCCAGAACCATTTCTTCATAATTAACAAACTTAAACTCTGGGAGGGAAGAAAAGTACTGTTCCAAGGCATTTTTCATCCCTGTGGAAATGTAAAGTGATGGCTGAGGGCCAGGGATAGGGCTCCCAGCAGAGCACACCCTGCTGTGGGAGACCAGGGTTTGGACCGCCCGCACCTTGGGGTGTGGCTCTGAAACATTCAGGATGGAGAAGGAAGGGAAGACTAGGAGCACCCCCAGATTCTGCAGGTCCCCAGCGATGGGGAACTGCGCACACGTGCACAAGTCCATCAGCTCTAGACCCCAAGAGCACACGTGGGGGAGGGACGTGGAGCCTCAGGGTGGCAGAGCAGGGTAGGGGGCACCCAAAAAAAGAGAGCTGGGGGAGGGAAGGAGAGAGGTGAGGGGGGCCACACGCGGACACCACACAGCAGCCAATAGAGAACAAGGCAGGTCACCTGGGATGGAAAACAAGGCCCAAGTGAGATGTGGCACACTGGTAGGCCCATGAAACACGTACTAGGGGTGAAGTGCGACATCTGTTTCCCCGGGATTTGAAGAGGTATCGGGGGAAGCTGGAGTGTTAGCACAGTGGGTAGGGCATTTGCCTTGCACACGGCCAACCTGGGTCCGAATCCCAGCATCCCACTGGGTCCCCCGAGCACCGCTGGGAGTAATTCCTGAGTGCAGAGCCAGGATTGGAACCCCTGTGCATTGCCGGGTATGACCCCAAAACCAAAATAAAGAAAGAAGTGTCAGGCGTGAGCAGGGAGGGGGCTGGAGCACTTGTGTGGGGAGAACGTAGCTATTAGAGTAAGGGTGCAAATTTGAACCTGGGGCACCCACTCCCACTGCGGAGTGGTAACTGGTAGTGAGGGGCTGTCATTTTGCATGGAAATATGCTGAAATCGAAGCATTCTACATTTCTTTTGCTTCCTAAAATAACTGCTCTGGGCAAGGCGGCAGCTTCTTTGCATGCTTACACTGAGCCATAAAGACCCTGGGTTGCCACAGTGCTCACACTAACACAAGCTCCTGCACAAGCTTCGAAGCCCCTTCATGGAGGCCCTGAGCCCTGACGTGCCATGTCTCTCTCCTGAGAGGCAAACTCGGAGCAGACGAGCGGCACCGCCTCCTGTATCCTGGGAGCAATAAAGCAAGGGCCTGCCATGGCATCTCACAGACAGCGTTCACTCGGGAGAAAACGCTCTCCAGAAACGACACCTGAAAGCCGCTGACTCTGGCTTTTATTGCCTGATCAGGACAAACGAAGGACCGGGAGAGAGAAGCAGCAGCGATCGGATGCGTCCCACAGGCCGGCCCAGCTAGTCCTCGGGCACGGGGCCACGGAGCTGGGGACGACTGCGCGTCCTCGGCCGACTCAGAATCTCACTTGGACCCTGAAGTGCATCTGCTTGGTGGCGTTGTTCTTCATTCCCGTCTTCAGCATCCACTTGGACTTCATCCTCTGGACGTACTGCATGTCCCGCTCCCGCGCGAGGGCTGCCCCTGTGGCAAGGGAGGGGTGAGAAATGAGACCGGGACTGTTCTCCAGGATCAGACGAATCCCGGTCTCCCAGTCAGCGCACACGGGAGTCATGAACGCGGTTCTCCACCCACAGGGCCTTGGAGTTGATGTGTGTCCGGGTCACGTACACACACACATGCGCACATGCACGCAAACACGGCCCGAAGAGCAAAGAGCTGATGAACCTTGGGGGTCAAGGAGTCCTGGCGAATTCCTGACATTAACAGAGAAAAGGACCTCCACGCCAGAGCTGGGCCCGGCCACCTGCAGGCGGGTGCGGACACCTCGGCGACCTGCCGCCAAATCTGAGCTGCCTAGAACTTCCTGGGCCATCGGAGGCAGCTCTTCTCCCTCGGTCCTCTAGAGGATGCTCTTGCCCCCGAGGTGAGTGGCAGGAGCGTCAGGAGAGTGAGGATCGGCTGGTGTGGGATGTCCACCTGTCCACTCTCAGTGAGGAGGCTGCTTCCTGCCTTGACCTACCTTGATTTCCCTGGGCAGGGTAAGAAGGAGCCCGCATGCGCACAGGCGTGGTACGACACTCAACCTGCACAGAGTCCCCAAGGGGACCCACTCCCGCCACCTCCGCTTTATCAACGAGGAGCCTCCGACTTCAGCGGTTTGCTCCTGTCACTGCCGAAGAGCTTACATGTGTCTCTGACACCGAGAGGGAGTCACAGTCCCTCAGGGTCACTGCTATTCGCTGTATGGATACTGACTCCTCTGGGGAACCTCGAAGACGGTCTTCAACTTTGCTAATCACAAAATAATCGCTTTTGTAACTCTCCTCTTCTGGAAAAGCTAATGGCCCGTATGCAATGCCCGAAATAGGAAGGGAGTACACCCTGGAGCTCTGGGCGTCTTGCCATCAACGTAACAAGCAGTGCGGGGAAACCCCTGGCGCCAAGAAGCGGTTCTCCCAGAGGAGACGTGAGCAGAGACACGGAGACAGCAGGGAGCGGGGAGACCGGGCCCAGCCCGCGGCCCTACCTGTGCCACCGGTCCAGCCGAGGGCTCTGTACTGCCGGAGCACTCGGCCCACGGCCTTCTGGTTCTTCGCGACGGCCACAGCCCTGGTCACACCGAAGCGCTGCTTGTAGTACCTCATCAGGGAGCGGTGGCCCACTCTGGCACCTGTTTTCCAGAAGAGCGACAGTAAACAGCCAGTGGGAGAGTTCCTCGAAACAGCCTAACGGGGGCACTCCACGGCAGACGTGGAGAAACAATGGCCATGGCAGAACGAACTGAGCTCTACCGGCTGAAGGCTCAGCGGCTTCTTAGCAATAGTCCCAAAAGGTAATGCCAGAAAGCTTTACAAAAAGAAAAAAAGGTAGAAAAAGGAAAAAGAGAAAGAAATGGTGGGTTGGAGAGACAGTACAGGAGTCAGCCCCAGTTTGATCCCTGGCACCACAGCCAGTCTCCTGAACACAGCCAGGGGTAAGCACTGAGCACTGCCAAGCAGAGTCCCAAACCCTGAGAGAGAGAATAGCAAGGCGTGGGTATGTGCAAAACTGAATATGGATCTACAGAATGCGGCACTAAAAATTCATACAGCAACCCCCACACAAACGCGTAACAGATGGGCCAGAGTCAGAGCAGAGGGCAGGGAACTCGCCCTGCACACAGCCTACCCGGGTTTAATCCCCAGCATCCCAGAGGGTCCCCTGAACCCACCAGGAGTGAGCCCTGAGCACAGCCAGGAGTGAGCCCTGAGCACAGCCTGGTACAGGCCCAAAACAAAACAAAATAAAACAAGAACAAACAACACAAATGAATAGCAGGACCCCAGGAAATACTAAAAATTTTGTTTTCAGAAACGAAGGATTAAACACAAGACAAGAGATCTTGAAAATAATAGATGCCTCGAGGAGACCTTCTCAGGTAGATGGGTCCAGGCTGAAAACTTTGGGGCCTGCCTTCTCAGAATGGGGGCCAGCAGATTGCCCCCCTCTGCCTGAAAACACAGCAGGCCGCAGCCACTCCCGACACCCAAACGGCCCCGCAACACAACCAGGCCTCAACCAAGTCACTAAACCACTCCAATCCACAACTCCCGGACAGCACAGCCGACGCCTCCCGATTTCAAAGTGCTGACAGCCCCGTAGGACGACAGCAAACGTGATGGGAGGGGCGCCCTGAAGACCACCAAACTCAGCGAGTGAAAAGAGTGACACCGTAGCACCAACCAGCCCCAGAAATGCTCAAGGACTTCAGTGAACCACTGTGAGATCTAACGATTGGCCTACTCAACGTGACTCTTACTGGCCCAAGATTTTAGGATTCCATTCGCCTCCGTGTTGTGACAAACAATATGAAGTGAATTCACGGGGCCTGCCAAGGGGGCAGCTGGGGTTAGCGGGTGGGACACTGGGGACACCAAGAAGAGGGCAGGTCACAGTGGTGGTGCTGGATCGGTGCTGGAACATTGAATGCCTGAGACGACTGTGTTCACAACTGGATAAACCACAGCACCGTAGTAAAAGGGTTTTTAAAGAAAAATTTTAGAAAAAGATTAAACACGGAACAACCCCGATGGTTAGGCACGCAAGCTAAGCTTGCATCAAGAGATCGATCCACCTCTCCTGTGCTCAAAGCCTCAACTGCACGCGATCTCCGGGGGGTGACTGGCTGGCCTGCCGCAAGCTTGAGGTGGTTAACGGTGGTCCGTGCCCTTGGGAGCGTACTGGCAGGGGGCGGGCCAGCTGCCCAACATCCGCCGGTGCCCTCCTCACAAGGAATCCTGGCCCGACTGTCACTCGTACAAAAGCGTAGAGACGACTTCCAGCTTTCTGAAGAGCGGAAACCTGCCATGAACAAGCACTGGCCCTCGGGACCCTGGGCACGAGACCGTCTCCTGCGCTGCTGATTTGGCAGCCCTGGGAAGACCACGCTGTCCGCAATGAAGGTCTCTTGCCCAACCACCCCTTCCAGGACAGCGGTGCCAACCTCCCTTACAGCTGGGGTGGACTCCACTGCGGGTGAAACTCAAGGGTAAGCCTTTGGGGTGAGCAGCTCCAGGCCCAATCGGAAGGTGGCGTGGCCCTGACCACTGGTCTGAGCACCGTTCATTAGGACACGAGTCATCACCTGCCCCCAGACAGACGGACGCACGCCTCAGGCTCAACAACAGCATACTCAGGGCACCAACTGTCACTCCCACTGAGAATGGCCAAGGAGACGGGGTCCAAGGGCCACGTGTTCAGTTTCCAAGAAATCTCTACGTTCATATGAAGAAGACCACCTTCCAGAAAGTCTTCTATGTCAGGCCGCACACAGGATGCCGTTAGTTTGGCTGACACATGCGTCTGTTTTTAAGACGCAGACCTTTAACTGACAGGAAGACTAGCAAATCCTAGGACCCGGTGAAGTGCCTGAACTAACAGTTCACTTGCCACGTGGGGAAAAAAAAAATAGCTCCTTTCCAGTGTTCCTTTAGGGCTCAGACTGTTTAAGAGACTCTCAACTCAGAAGCGACAGACACCCGGGTATGAATGGAAACATGCCGACTTGGGTATTCTGGCAACAGAAGAGTCACCAAGCTCCTGGCCCAGCAAAGGAGACGGAGCTGAGGAACGGACTCCAGCAGCCAATGCCAACTTTGTTTACTGGGATTCCTATTTATGATGGCAGGGAAGGAGGCTCCGGGCTCGCAGTGACAATCAGCTCAGCATCATTCCATGATAATGTGAGACAGACAGACAGACAGACACACACACCTCCCCCATATGTTTCTATTAAGCAGCATATGGGGATGCAGGCTAAGGAAGCTCCGGGCTCACAGTGACGATTAGCTCAACATCATTCCATGATAATGCTAGATACACACACACACACACACACACACACACACACACACACACACCACCCCACCCCACCCCACCCCACCCCCCTATATGTTTCTATTAAGCAGCATATGGGGATGAAGGCCAGGAAGTCAGCTTTTAAAAATACCCCTGAAAGCGCGTCATTTCTCAGCGCCAAGGTTTCTGTCAGCAAGGCAAAACTCCAAGCACGTAGCCTGCCCGACCTGTGTCAGTCAGAGGCAGCACGAGTGTGACACTGGGCGTCACGGGCCAGGAGCAGCGGGCTCGGCCGCCCCCTCAGAGCCCGGCAAGGGGCAGGATTTACAACTGCCCGTGCCCAGCAGATGAGCCGTGTGTGAGCCGTGGCGAAGTTGCAGCCTGTCCACGCTGTCGGCACAGCAAACTGGGCGCCCGAGGCTGCCGCTCCTGCAGGTCGGCGTAGGGGAGAGGGGGGATTGGTGGGGGGAAGCCAGGGCCCCGGCCGCGAGCCGCGAGAGACGATGAACGGCACATCCCTGGGCCCGCCGGGCTGGCCAGCAGTTCAGGTGGCCGTGTCTTCACGCCCAGCCGCTCCATCCTACCCGGGTACAAGGAAACTAAAAGAGCTCAAGGAGCCGGGCCGGCCCAGTGGCTCCCAGACAAATGCCTGCAGTGCCCTCTCCTGGAGCCTCACGGTCACTGGCGCTGGACAGCGGGGATCTGGCGTCCAGAGGGCCTCTGCTTCTGAACGCAAAGAATGAAATCTCTCTCAGCACTCGCGTTCGAATCCTTCTCCAACTCCAGCATCATGCCGACACACACACGTATCCAGGCAGGCCCTGGGGCAGGGATCACAGAGGGGTGTCCAGGGTCAGTCCGCCCAAAGGCAGGGGACATCAGCAAACGCACCGCCGTGATGCCGCTCCATGCCTGGCCAGCATTTCTTCAGCGCATTCCCGGTTTTCTTGGCACGGTTCAGAACCCTGCAGACGAGGCCCGAGACACAGGCAAAAACTAACGGCTAGAAGGACACGCGGCTTTACAACCGGATGCATCGGGGATGGCTGGCCTTTCAAGCGATCAAAGAATTCACGATATTAAAAGCATTCACGTCAAACTGGGGGGGGGGGGGGGGGGGAGTCAGAATCTAACAGTTTTTAATGCACTGTATTTTGTTTGTACGTACTGAATTCGATCAAAAGCCTCAGCACTTGATGGGTGAAGCTATGGGGGGCTGGGGAGATAGCACGGGGCTTGGGCTGGACCCCCGGGAACTCCGGGACAGACTTGGAGTCTCCTGGGATGCTCTGGGTGGAGCCCTGGGGGGCCTGGGTACACAGGGGTGGAGGTGGTCCCCAGTACCAGGCACCCCAGTCCCGGTAGTAGCCCTGGGACCCCCTGAGCACCTCTGGGGGCAGCCCTCTCCCCCAGGAGACCCAGGAAGGCAGCAAACGTCGATTCACTTTCCTCAGTGGTCCTTAATCCTCAGGTCACACACTCCGAAGAGACCACAGTCGTCCCCAGAGAAAACGCGCTTCCCCAGAGGCAAAGAAACCAAAGGTGTCGTCTGCCGGAAGTCTGCCGGGGCCCTTGCGCCTGCAGGGCCTGGTGAGAAGCGAGGGGTGGCAGGGCCCCTGCCCAAGTGTCTGTCAAAAGGCAGCAGCGGGCAGTGACCTAACCCTGAAGCTGCTGCCTCAGCCTCTCCACGCTCAAGTCCAAGCCCTGTCCCGAGACCGTCTCCAAGGCTTTAAGAAGAACACTAGTCCGCAACGAGGGCTAACGCTGGGAACGACAAAAGCCAGGGTCCGTCCCTGCCAATCTCAGCAACCCACGGCCTCCGGCGGCAGGCCACTCAACGGTCAGCCCCGGGGTCCTTGCCCAGAAGGCTGCCTGCTCTCCCGTCCACATCGCCTTCCTGCGAGTCGTGCCTCCCTCTCACCACGCTGCCAGCAAGGGTTTAAGTGGCTTCTGCGTGACACCCTGCTCTGAGGAAACAAGCAACACACTGCATTCTCAGAAGGAGGAGCAGGGGTCCAAGAGGAGGAGCAAGGGTCAGGCAGAAGCACAGCAGGGAGAGCGTTTGTCTTCCCTGTGGCTCAACGGGGCTCAGTCCCCAGCACCCCGTATGGTCCCCCGAGCCCCACCAGGAGTGATCTCTGAGCACAGAGCCAGGAGTGATCTCTGCACACAGCCAGGCGAGGCCAAAAACCAAAAAGGAAAAACTCCTCAAAAGCCACTGAGGATTGTGCCTAGTTAATGCAAAGGGGGGTGGGGGGGCGGGGGGGATCATTCTAATAACCTTTTTCTGACTTGTTACTCTTGGCAGGCTCGGATATCCTAGGAAATGTGTTTTCTAGAAAACCGAAGAGCTTTGTTTCAAAATTTAGGTTAAAGGGCCTGGAGCGATAGCCCAACAGGCAGGGCATTTGCCTTGCACGTGGCCTACCCGGGTTCGATTCCCAGCATCCCATAGGGTCCCCCGAGCACCGCCAGGAGTAATTCCTGAGAGCAGAGCCAAGAGTAACCTCTGTGCATCGCTGGGTGACCCAAGAAAAAAAATCTTAGGTCCGGAATAAGGTTTCTCTCAGACTACGTATTTCCCCTCCCAGAGGCCGCCACTGAACCTGGGCTGGCGCAATCCTGACAAGAAGTGTGAGGGCCCTTCTGTCCCGCCGTGTGCAGGAGAGCTGGGCAACAGACTGGCTGCAGGTCTGTCCAGGCGATGCAGAGGCTGCGTTTCTTACCAAGACTCACCCAGGTCTCCTGACCATTGCACTGTGCCACATGGAGCTTCTTGCCAGCTTTCTGGGGCCCCGCAGACAGAAACCAGCGAGCCAGTCTCAGGAGAGCTGCGCCCTGCCTGTGACGCTCTGGGCGGGCATTCCTCCCGAAGAACCAGGATGGAAGTGGCTCTGACACACAAGCCAGGCCTTGCTTAGACACGAGACTCCACGGCACCTATGACTTCCCTATCACTGTGCAGAGAACTCTGTCTTCAGCACACGTTGAAGCCTTTTCATTCTCTTCCTGCTGCTCTAGAAGCGCTTCTGAGCCCGAGAGAGAGTTGTTTGTTCTGAACCAGAGGGCTGTCGATTCCTTAGCAGGAAGGTCTCGGATCGGGTTTCCTTACTACAGCGACAGAGTGGCTGCTCTGTCCCCGCCACTACAGCAAGTGGGAAAAAGGTTTCACGGTCCAGGTCTACGATCATCGGTAAATTACCGCCCAGTCGAAACTTCCGTTGACTTCTATGTCAAATAAGGATTATGGAACCTAACTCACATGTTACTGTAAAGATGAATGAGGCTGCCCGAACACGTGCTCCTAAGGAAGTATCATTACTAGTAAGATATCACTTCCCCATTCCTATGTTTCTCACATGTTCTATAACTTTTCCCATTTTCCAGCTAAGAGGAGACAATTATCAACAAAAGCGCGAGTTTCTCGTCATCTTGGCTTCTCTTCTTCTTCCTTCCTAGGATAAATCGCCACTATTACGAACTGAGCAACGCCAAGCAAAGATGTAGAATTTACACTCCAAAGCTCCTCTACAGTCAGCACAAACAGACAACCTGGGCACTGTGCGATCAGGCAGTACCCTGTCAGATTACAGGCAACAGAAGGAACCAGGAATTGGTTCAAAGAATAAAGCCAAGACTAATGTGAAAAGTCTGGATGGGGACAGAGAGATGAGAACGGAAAGGTCCAATCCAATGTTTAAATGTCCTGCATTTCTCGCGGATACTGCTCCCGCAGGCCTGGTAAACATAATGAAAACCTGCTGGACTCTTTGTAAGAAACGTGACAAGTATCAGCCTCACAAAGTAGCCCCGCACAGCAAAAAAGAGGGAAGGATTCTGTCTGCCCAGGGAAAACAGCGCCATGACAGGAAGCAGAGTGGTTGCAGAGGTCTAACTAAGCGAGTTTCCCGGGGAAAAGTTAAAACTACAAAAAAAGATTGTGATGAGGCTTGAATGCACTGGGCCCAACCACAGAACGCTGGGCCGGTACAAGGTGCAGCATTCTGAACTGGCAGGAGAAAGGAGGAAGGGACAAGGGATCTAGTTCTAAGCTTCATCTATTCTTGTTTTTTTTCTTTTCTTTTTTGTTTTTTGGGTCACAACTGGCAACGCTCAGGGGTTACACCTGGCTCTGCACTCAGGAATTACTCCTGGAGGTGCTCGGGGGACCATATGGGATGCTGGGAATCGAACTCGGGTCGGCTGCGTGCAAGGCAAATGCCCCACCTGCTGTGCTATGGCTCCAGCCCCAGCTTTATCTATTCTTAAGAAGGCAGAAATCCTGGGTTGTGTTAGATTAGGGCAACAGCTGGTGTGTGAGGAGGGAAATGAAGTCGTGTCACGAGTAACCTTCCCCTACGAGAAAATTTGCTTGATAAAAAAAAAAATTTGCACTGTTCTGTATGGATGGGAGGGAGCTAATTGAAACACCTCTCAGTTGCCTCAGTGCATGAACTCATTCCTGACAACATGCTCACCTGAAGGCAGAACGAGCTCCATGGTCTCATCGTCATACTCCAAGTTCTTCTCTGGAGAGAGCTCCGCCGTCTCGTCAGGATCCTCCCCTTCCTTGTGGTCTGGGTAGCTACTCCTGAAACAGTGAGACGCACCGATGAATTTGGACACACACCTCAAATCGAGCTGAAAGACACTCGTCCTACATGCAAATGAGCAATGCCAAAGTCAGGTGGGTCAGTGGTGGGACAGAGCGCGCCAGGGCCCCAACACTGAGAAGCTTTAAAGAGGGGTTCGACGGTGGGCATTTTCTTCGCAGGAAGAGAGCAAAACAAGCGAAAATGAATCACAGACCTACGTGCAAAATGAAGTCGTAAGAATTCCTCGAAGAGAATCTCCTGAATAAGGCTATGTGACGAGGTTCAGAAAAAACTTTTCAGAGAGACACCAAAGGGAGAAGCCATGAAAACTGTCCAGATGGCCTTCAATAAAAGTAAAAGCTTCTCCTTTGTAAAACACGGTGTAAAGAATAAAAGGTTGGGGCTGGAGCGATAGCACAGCGGGTAGGGTGTTTGCCTTGCACGTACCCAACCTGGGTTCGATTCCCAGCAGCCCATAGGGTCCCCTGAGCACTGCCAGGAGTAATTCCTGAGTGCATGAACCAGGAGTAATTCCTGTGCATCGCCGGGTGTGACCCAAGAAGCAAAAAAAACCAGAAAAAACGGTCAAGTCACAAATTAGGATGAGATATTTGTCACAGGCACCTCTCATAAAAGACTATTAATACTCTTAAAATGCAATAAGAAATCAAACAATCCGATTTAAAAATGGACCAAACACCTTCACAAAGATGTCACTGAAGCGTGCAGATGGCAAATAAGCATGCGAAAAGATGGTCCCCATCACGTTCTCAGAGAAATGCAAACGGAAACAAGGACACACCACTCCCCACGGCAGAACACTGACAACCCCAAAACTCAGAATACTGACACCACCGAAACCTGGCCAAGGGCAGAGCAGCAGGAACCATTCACCGCCTGGAGCACTGCAGAAAGGCCTATCTGCAGTGTGGAACACACGTGCGTGGGGGACTCTTGGCACTGCCGGAGCCTCTGAGCACTCGCTCAGGAGCAGGCCCCAGGCACAGCAGCGCGTGACACAAAACAGACAAAAGAAGGTGCAGTCACTTCTCACGCAGGCGGAAACGGTGGTTCTTTCAAACTGTATCGATGCTTAGCGTAGGCCCCCGACAATCGTGCTGCTTGGTATTGACCCCACAGAAGCCGAAACCGCACCCACACAAGCACCAGCATGTGGATGTTTGTGGCAGCTTGCTGCATCGGCCGCCAAACTCTTAAAACCAAGATGCCCTTTAACAGGTGAATGGACAAACAGTGTCACATCCAGATACTGGAGTAGTTAAGAAGTCAAAGGGGGAAAAAAAAAACACACAGAAAACTTTTGTAATGAAGGTTACGCCTGTTGGCGGTAGAGTATGTGAGGATAATGTATGTGGTGGCAGCGACAGTGATGGCGGTCGTGGTACATGTGTCTGTGTTTTTGTGTAGAACGTCTGTGGCGGTGTGCGTATGCGGGACGAAATACCTGCAAGAGGCATACTGGAAATCTTTGTGATTTCTGGTTTTGTTGTTGTTGCTGTTTTTCATGGCAGTACTCGGGGCTCGCTCCGGCCTCTGTGCTCAGGAATCAGCCCTGGTAAGCTCACGGGGCCATACGGGGTACCAGGCATCGAACCTGGGTCGGCGACACGCAAGGCAAACACACCGCCCACTGTACTAGTCCCCAGCCCCAAGTCCTTTAGCTTTCGTTGAGTATCGCCATGATCCTAAAACTCTTTCAAATAAATCTGTAACTGAATTGTGTGCAGAAAGGCTGCCCAAGAGAGAAGAAGGGGCAGCACTGGAGAAGCGATAGTAATTCCCCGTACTATGGAAAACAAGGCAACGTGGGAGGAATTGTGACTAAGAGGGCCTGAAGTGCATACAATGGAGCAATCCAATATTAACTCAATTTGGAACTTTAAAAATGTTTTTAAAGTTCTAGAGCAATGTTCTAGAATACTACTCGATGATAACAGGAAGTTCTATGTGCTATAATTCTATAAATAATACAATGATTAGATTATTAAAGGAATGAAATTTTACTATTTTTTAAAAAAAATCACTAAAGTAATGTGCTTACGATGGTGCTGATGTACTTACCTCATTTCACAAGCAAAGTGCCCAAGATCCCTCTACCCATGACCCTGTGTCTGTCACCTGGATTTTTTCCCCAGCCTGCCTCTATGCTCCATGGCAGGTACTTTCCTCTCCTCTCTTCCTCTCCCCTTCCCCCCTCTCATAATTTCTAAATTTCTGATTAACTTAATTTCTGATTAACTTAAACAGTCATATAAGTATACCCAGCAATTACTGTATCAAACAGAAGAATCTCAATGTTCCTAGATATTTTCACCACTACACACAGAAAGCAACCGGAGAAACACACACTAAAATGTTAATACTAAGACAAAATCCAATTGTTTGCTTGTTTGAGGGGATCACATCTGGCAGTGCTCAGGGCTTACTCCTGGCTCTGCACTCAGGGATCACTCCTAAGTGGGCGCGGGGGACTATATGTGGTGCTGGAGATTGAACCCAGGTCAGCCTTGTGAAAGGCCCAACCAGCCGTACTATCGTGCAGCCTCCAAATCCATTTAGAAAAAAAAGTAATCACTATGATCAATAATAATTGGCGCTCAGCTACAGTGCTCTTCGCCAGGGAAAAGTGGTTTAAAAAAAAAATCAGGGGCTGGAGCAACAGCACAGTGGTTAGGGCATTTTTCTTGCACACAGCTGACCCAGGTTCAATTCCCAGCATCCCATGTGGTCCCCTGAGCACCGCTAGGAGTAATTCCTGTGTCAGGAGTAACCCCTGTGCATCACCAGATGTGACCCAAAAAGCAAAATAATAATAAAATAAAAATTAAAAAAAAAAAACATAATCAAATACCCCTACACAGGACCCGAGTGACTAACTGAAATTTTCTTCACTCCTCGTGAGAAATAAGAAAAACACAAAAGTTTTGAAACTCCAAACTTCTCCCTGAGCACGGCCAGGTGAAGCCCAGGGGCCATCGCATGCCCTCTCCCAACGTAACAAGGCTGCCCCGCACAGGGGCTGCTGGGCGCACCTCCGACCCACCTCAACACAGAGGAACTAACTGCACTTCCCCTGCAAGCCAAACTCACCTAAAATCATAGAAGTCTGCGAACTCCAAAGCAGCGTCCCCGTCTGTGAAGAGCTTGCAGTGACTCTTGTCCTTCATGTGCGCCTGCACCGCCTCCGTGGAGTAGAAGGATTTTCCTTTCTCGTTACACCACAGGCAGATCTTCCCAACTCCGACCTTCTCTCCTGGGAAAACAATTTGAGGAGAAACTGGAGCAGTTTTCCTAGCCAGTGAATCTCACCATTTACCGCTCGCAAGTCAAACGGACAGTTCACAAACCAGGCCTGTAGTTGGACCAGAGACCGATGACGAGCATGAAGAAAGGTTCCCTTGAGCCCTGCCCACCAGCCCCCTCACGGGGTCCTTCCTCGTTTTTCAGAAGGAAAACTCGACTCACCCAAGTATTTAATCAGGCCCCGAAGATCCGAGAGATATTCGATATCAGGAATAAAGAAGCTGTGGACCTTCGTCATATGAGCCACATTTTTCATGAGGGAGCTGGAGTGATGGGAACAGAACAGACAGTCCGTAACTGGGATAGCACCAAGCGGGGGGCTGCCGCCAGTCTCCTCATCCTCCTCCTCCTCCTCCTCCTCAGAATCATCCAGGTCGTCAGCATCATCACACTCCAGCTCTTCCTCGGAATCAAGATCTTCCCAATCTAGCAAGGAGGGTCGGAACACGAAGTTACTTTAAAAGCTAAAGAAACAGAGACTGTCCTGACCCCGCCAGGCTGTCTTCACCGGGGCAACTAGGAGGGGGGCGGGTGGAGTTTCCCTCCCCATCCCAGCAGAATCCCGGCAGCCAGAAACCTCCAGAACCCAACCGCACAGCCACACTCAAAGCCGCTCTCCACAGGCTCGGACGAGCCTCACCTATGGGGGAAACTGCAGAAAACCCCAAGTATGCAGGGCATGTGACTTGAGATCTCAAAGCTCACTTGGAACAGGACTAGGCCTCCTGCCCCTGCTCCCCCGTTTTCCAGCAGCTTGGCAGTCACACCCACAAACTGCCCCCAGCATCATGTAACCTTATCAAGGGCCAAGAACCAGAGACTATGAAATAAAGCTCCCAGAAGAGCGTGACACAGAACGTCCTGGAGCAGCGGGCCACGACCTCTTATTCTCTAGTCCACCGATGTACCCAAAGTAGCACACATTTGTTTTGGTTAAACATACATGCTCGTAAATCTCTTATACAAGGGCTTAAATGGCTCCAGGATGAAGCACAACAATCTTCACACACCTTCCTCTCATGGTGGTGAGATTTATGTCCGAATATTATCTGTGATGAACTACGGTGAGCAACTTTATCAAAATAAAATTTTAAAAAAACTCAAGAAACAGTATGGGCACAACAAACAGTACACAAAGTCACTGGAACTGGAGCTTCAGGATACAGCACTGAGGAGGGGAGGGCGGGAGGCACCCTTGGGATACCAAGTGGGGGCAAGCGACCCCGAGTGAGGTGCTGGGGAGATGTATGTATGAGAGGTACGAGTAACAGTTCCGGTACTTCAACAAAAATGGCAGAGAACGTTAGAAAGAATGAAGTCATTAAATCTCCTTATAAAAGGATGGACATGGAGCGTATCATGCTGAGTGAAATTATACATATATATACATATATATGTATAAAATGAGACTAATATCCAAGGAGCGATAGCACAGCGGGTAGGGCGTTCGCCTTACAAGCGGCCAACACGGCCGACCGAGTTCGATTCCTCCGCCCCTCTCGGAGAGCCCGGCAAGCTACCGAGAGTATCTCGCCCGCATGGCAGAGCCTGGCAAGCTCCCCGTGACGTGTTCGATATGCCAGACACAGTAACAACAAAGTCTCCAATGGAGACGTTACTGGGCCCGCTCGAGCAAATCGACGATCAACGGGAGGGCCTTTTAGGGCCTTTTAATATCCAAGGCCAGGGTAAACAGGGGCTGGAGGACTGGCCCATGGTCGGAAGCTTGCCACGGGAGGGTGTGGGAGCCAAGGGCAGGTAGGATACAGAAGGGACCAACACGGCAGTAACAGTTGAAAATGATCATCTTGGACAGAAACTGCGCGCTGAAAGAAAGCAAAGGGATATACCTGATAACATTTCAGTATCTGAATCGCAAACCGTAAGGTCCAAACCGGGAGGGCCGGAGCTGGAGCCATAGCACAGCAGACAGGGCCTTGCACTGGGCGGACTGAAGTTCCATTCCCAGCATCCCATGTGGTCCCCCGAGCACTGCCAGGGGCGATTCCTGGGTGCATGAGCCAGGAGAAACCCCTGTGCTTCCTCCCGGTGTGACCCAAAAAGGAAAAAAAAGGGGGAGGAGAGGGGGAGAAAGAGGGAGAGAGGGAGAGAGGGGGAGGGAGGGAGGAGGGGGAGGGAGAGGGGCAGGCGCCTGCCATGGGGAGGGGAGGGGAGGGGAGGGAACTGACCACTGGCGGTGGGAAATGTACACTGGCGCTGGGACAGGGTGCTGGAACACTGTATGACCGGAGCCCAATCATGAACGACTTTGTCAATGTGTTTATCACTGTGATTCAGCTAAAAAAGAGGTTCTTGATTTTTTAAAGAGGCAGAGAAAGGAAAAGCTGGGAGGGAGGGATGGGCGGGTGGGCAGGTAGGCTGGGAGCCCACCTCGCTCAGAACCAGCCCGGACCTGACCAGCCTTCGGGGAGCGTGGCCAGACCCGCGTGGCCCTGCGGAGGGAGGGAGGCCGGACCGCTGGCTCCTGCCTGGACACTGGCCGCAGGGCCAGGAGCCCCCGAATCCCGCCTCCCCGGCACACGCCACGGCCCGCGGAGGCCTCCTGGGCGGCTGCTCCCGAGCCGGGGTGGACACGGGCGCGTCGCAGGGGCACGAGGGCAGGGAGGCCCGGCCAGCTGACCCACCCAGGGCAGGACGGGCAGGACGGGCAGGACGGCGCAGCCCGCGGCGCCAGCTCCACCTTCCGGGCCGGAAGCCGCGGAAACCGCTTGTTTCTTTCCCCGCCTCTGGCCCGGGGTCGGAGGCGCCCGGACTCCGCCCTGCACTGCCGGCCGGCCAGCGTGGCGGTGGCCTGTCCCTCCCTCCCGATGCCCACCCCCGTCTCCTCCTCCTCCAGCCCAGCAGACGGGCCCGGGCGCTGGGAAGGCCCGGGGCAACGTCACTTCCGGCGGGGGAAGCCCGGCGCGACGCCACTTCCGGCGGGGAACCCCCCCGGCGCAACGTCACTTCCGGGACGGCCAGGGAAGCCCCCGGGAGCGCGGCCGAGGGCGGGACCCGCCCGGGCCTCGGCCTCCAGCCCGGGGCAGCGTCGCGGCAGGGGTCGCTCACCGTCTCCGTCCGCGTCCTCCGCGTCCTCCGCGTCCTCCGCCCGCCGCCGGGCCCACCTCCTCGCCTGCCGCTCGAACCAGCGCAGCCGGGGCGGCGGGTCGCGCTCGGCGTCCGGGGCGGCCCTCCCGGGCGACGGCTGCGCCGCGACGGCCCGCTGGATGGCCGCGTTGACCGCGTCCCGGCCGGCGCCCGGCCCCGCGGGCAGCCCCTTCTCCAGGCTCTTCTCCTGCAGGCGCTGCAGGCGCCGGGTGACGGCCCGCACGGCGCGCGCCTCCAGCTCCCGGTGGCGCCGCGAGCGCAGGTGGTTCTCGTAGGCGTTGCGGGAGGCGAAGCGCTTGGCGCAGGCGGCGCAGTAGGTGGGCCCGGCCCGGCCCGGCGGCTCGGCCGGCGCCCGCTGCGCGCACACGCGCTCCCGGAAGCCCTCGGCCGACACGGGCGCCAGCGCCGCCACCTTGCGCCGCAGGTTGTAGCGGTGCCAGTCGGTCTTGTAGTGCGCGCGCTGCAGCTCGGCGTCGCCGAAGGCCAGCCTGCAGGTGATGCAGGTGTACGCGGCCGCGGCCGTGGCCATCGCGGGGCGGGAAGGGGCCGGCGGCGGTGGCGGCGGCGAGCGCGGCCCCGGGCCCCGGGCGGCGGGAGGAGGCGGCACTTCCGGGGCGCTTCCGGGTTCGGCCGGCGGGACTTCCGGCCCGCGCCGGAAGCCGGAGCCGATTGGCCGGGCCCCGGAAGTCACGCCCTCTCCAAGGCGGGACTCCGGGAGGCGCCCCGCCCCGTCCGCCTTGACCCGGGTGCTGATTGGATGGCTCGCCCACGCCCGCTCGGCCCGCCCGCGGGAGGGCGTGGACGAGGAGGGGCCCGAAGTCGACGTTTGATTGGGCGGCCCCGGAGGCGGAGGTGGGCGGGGATTGGAGGACGCCGCTGCTGCCTGCTCGAGCTTCATTCCCGGGGCGTGGGTGTCGGGTTTGAAGCGGTGACAGCGCTGGGGACCGGCGTAGGATGTTCGAAACCCGGGAGCCCCTACCTGCAGGAGTGGCCCTCCGGGCGAGGGGCTTTGGGACCTCTCCGAGACGGCGTGCTCGCATCCCTGGAGCATCCTTAAGTAGAGGGCCCCAAGGCAAGGACCACTTTTGGACAACATCACCCTCCCCCCCAAGACTCCTACCTTTCTGGGAGCTCAGACAAGATTCTGAAATGAAGTTTGCAACCAAGAGCAAAGAGGTTCACCGGGCATGGTCTCACGGGAATAATATCCAAGCTTTCTTAGAAATCCTACACTTAATCACTTATCGCTTAATCCCCGTTATTCATCGATTTATTCGAGCGGGTGCCAGTAACGTCTCCATCCCGGTTGCGTGCTAGCGTAGCCCAATGGTATCTGTTCGTTTTAGGAACATGTAGAGCCTCAAACCGATCATTTAGGGTCTTGACGAAGAAGTCTGAACATCTTATAGGTGGGCGTCCACGTGATCTTTTGATGTCTCGTGGAATCCAATCAGTAATGGCTCTAGTCTAGCGGTTGTCTGTAAACCTCATTACGTGTCCAGCCCATCTGATTTTTGATGTCTTGGCAAATGAGACAGCGTCTCTGATTCTTGAGCGTTGACGAAGATCAGAACTCCGGATTCTATCTCTCATTTGAGTGAATCATGATATTCCAAGCATAGTTCTTTCGATTCCTCTTTGAGAGACCCGAATAGCGTTCTCATCCTGTTTTCGTAGGGTCCAGGTCTCTGAGGCATCTATCCAGTAATAGAAATCCTACACGGAATAATTTTTTTTTCTTTTTGGGTCACACCCAGCGATGCTCAGGGGTTCCTCCTGGCTTTGCACTCAGGAATAACTCCTGACAGTGCCCAGGAAACCATCTGGGATGCAGGGAATCGAACCTGGGTTGGCCGCATGCAAGGCAAACGCCCTACCCGAGGTGCTATCGCTCCAGCCCCTACACGGAATACTTTTTCAGTGGACAGGGAGCAGTGTAGTTACTTAGCCCAGGATAGCCGAAATGTCATCGTTTCAGCGTGCACTGCATCCTGAAGATGTAATGAATGGTTTCACTGCCGAGTTGGCATTAAATCTTGAAGCTCCCTTGCATGGTTTTAACAGCGGCGCATCTCGTTGAAAACTTGTGCCAAAGAACTTTGTGTCAGTGGGATACTATGCAGCTGTTAGGAAAGAGGAAGTAATGGGATTTGCTTATGAGTGGATGGCCATGGAGAATGCCATGCTAAGTGAAGTAAGCCAGAAAGAGAGGAACAGACATAGAATGACTGCACGCGTTTGTGGAATATAAAATAACATGAGACTGACACCCAAGGATAGTAGATAGGAAGACTGCTCCATGGTTGGAAGTCTGCCTCATGAGCTCGGGGAGAGGCAGCTGGCATAGAGAAGGGATCACTAAGTCAATGATGGTTGGAGGGATGGTTCAGGATGGGAGAGGTGTGCTGAAAGCAGACAAAGGACCAAATGTGCTAGCCTCTCTGTATCTGTATTGTAAACCCAAAGGAGAGGAAATTGTCTGCCATGGAGGCCGGGAGAGGGTTGGGATGTGGGGTGGGGATACTGGGGACATTGTCGGTGAAAGATGTGCACTGGTGGAAGGTTGGATGTTTGATCATTGCATGAGTGAAACTCACACATGAAAGCTTTGTAACTCTCTCACCGTGATTCAGTAATGCAAAAATAAAAGGACTTTGTGTTCTCAGCTAGAGCAGGGTTCCATAAGAAACTGGATGCCAGAGTATTTAGACTCACCTACAGAGCTTCATGGAACCAGTGATGTTCAGAATTGAGTATTTATTCCTCAGAGCCAGCAGCCCAGAGCATAAAAAGATTCGAGCCATTTGGGAGACAGGGATTCAGGGGGTGGGGGTTGGCCAGTTAGAGCTGCGCTCAGGGAATGATGGTTCCAGTGGTCGGACTTGGGTCACCTTAGTGAAAGGCAGGTGACCTACCTGCTATACTACTGGTTCAAGTCCCAAGATTAGAAATGCTCTTGAAAATGTAGTCCAGCTTGAGTTGCTCATTTGCTCCAAAGCTTCCTGCGATATTTCTAAACTCCAAATAAAATTCAAATGCAACCACTTCTATGGCCTGAATTGGCTGCTTGCTTCTGCCATTCACAGGCTTGAAATTTCCTAGGTGCTGGGGTTGGAATGTGAAACTTGTTAGCATTGGTGAGGCTCAGGCTCAGGCTCTAACTGCATGTGAACGCAAGAAGTCTAGAATCAGTAAGAAGTGTCCTTCCACCAACCCTTATCATGGGCTCCAGACTCCGGAACTGTGAGAAATAGACTTTTGTTTATACAGAACTCAATCTGGAATTTTAAATGTATTTGATTGTACAACCAAAAAAGACACTTGTGGGCTGGAGAGTCTCCCTAGGGGTGAGTGCATGCTCTGTCTGCACCAGGACCAGATTCTATCAGCGGATGATCCAAAAGCCTCCAGAACAACCCCACAAACATCTCCAAGTGTGGCCCCAAACAAAAGATAACATTTCTTTGCCTGGATGCACTATACCCCATGACCTTTTATGCACATCATCTACCTTCAATGTGCATGTTTTTATTTTTACACCACCAAGCAATTTTCCATCACAAGTTGGGTGCCTGGTACCTCAGCTATACTCTGACACTTGGCGACTCTCTGCTCACTGCTGCATCAGATTCTCCAGTTATGAGCTCAGTCCCATGAGGCTTTCGTTCTACAGATGCCCAGTGAAAGTCCACGCTGTTACCTGTGTGGATCGACTGGCTGTAAGCATCAGAGGCCCACCGTTCTCCCCTCAAGTTCAGTGAACCTACTGGAGAAGCTCATAGAATTCTGGACACCATTTCACTTCCCAGAATGCCAGTTCATTGCAGAGAGCCTTAAAAGATGCAAACGAGAGGCCAGGCGCAGAAATGCTGGTGAGATCTGGAATAGTCCCTGGCAGAGGCGCTCTGGACCCACAAAGCTGGAGTGCTCCTCCCACTCTGCACCTGATAAGTTCTGGCTCACCAACTGGAACTCTGAGCTCCTTCCTTTTGAATCCTCTGCCACCACCCCCCCTTTTTTTTAACTGGTGGGGATGGGTTTTAATAAAAGACTTAAGCATTCGCAATGGTGACCTCCACCTCCACACCCATCTCCGATAGGTTGTGCGGGTTTATGAAGCATTGTGGATGCACATCTGGAAGCCGCCTCAGGTCTTGGAGCCTTCGCCACCAGGAGTCTTCCTGGTGGCATAATCTAAGCGGTCACCCACACAGCCCCTTCACATTCAGGTTCTTGCCCTTGGCACCCGGATCAGGCCAGAGCACGCCTTCTCTGGGGCCGTTCCACTGTGGCTGATGAGGGCGATCTGCAGGCTCTGAATGCCACTTCCATGCCCCACCTTCATCTCCCTGTGTCCCCAAGGGCCATGGCTAGTGCGGCTTCCTGCCCAGTTTGTCCCTCCACATGAGAGAACAGTGAGGAGTGAGGAGCAGGAGCAAACCCTAGTGAAGCACCAACCGTGTCTTCTGCAAATAAGCCCTTTCAAATTTCTTTTTTCTTTCTTCTTTTTTTTTTTCTTTTTGGGTCACACCGGGCGATGCTCTGAGCTTTCTCCTCGCTCTGCACTCAGGAATTACTCCTGTAGGTGTTCAGGGGACCGTATGAGATGCAAAGGGTCAAACCTGGGTCGGTCACGTGCAAGACAGATGCCCTACCTGCTGTACTATAGCTCTGGTCCCCCCTTTCAAATTTCTTACGGCGATTTTATTACACAACCTGGTTTGATCACTGGCACTTCAAGCCTCCATCTCAGATTTGGGGGTATGGAGGGTTGGTGCTGAGAGAGGACTAGAAAGTTCCAAACCTCTAATCATAGCACCGGGTCATTAGCATACCCTCAGGTTACTTAGGGGCTTTATAGAAATCCATCCCAAAATACTTTTATTTTAAAAGCTGTGCTCTCGTAGGAACTGAGCAGTAATACAGGGGGTTGGGCACTTGTCTTGCATATTGCCAATCTGTTCGATCCCCACCACCCCATATGGTTCCTTGAGCACCTCCAGGAGTGACCCCTGATCACAGAGCTAGAAGTAAGTTCACCAGGAACGGCCCCAAACAAACAAAAACTATACTACCGTTATTTTTCTTTTCATTTGGCAGCTCCAAAGGTTTTCGAAGCTCTGCCTGAAACAGCAGTGCCAAAACCACGATGCTTCTGACCACCAATCACAACACCACAGTGTCCTTTAACATATTCTAGTGGGGCCCCGAGAGAAACAGAGGACAGAGGATGAGAGGGGAGGCTGACTCCCTTCCAGGCTGCCCTCCTCTATCTGGGAAGTCCCTCAATCCAGCACAGGAAAAGAATTTCAGGGCCTGGGACTATGCCAGCAAAAGCCCTACCTGCTGTGCTATGGCTCCAGTCCAAAAAGCACAAGCTTCTTAAATTCTGCCCTACGGTTTAGGACAAAATATGTAAGACCAGGGGCCAGAGAGAGAGAGTACAGTGAGTAAGGCCTTGGCTTTGCCTGTGTCCCACCCAGGCCTGTTCCCTGGTACCACACATGGTCTTCTGAGCACTGCCAAGAATGACCCCTGAGCACAGAGCCAGGAATAAGCCCTGAGCACCGCTGGGTCTAGCACCACCTAGACTAAACAAAAGTATCAAAACAAAAATATCAGGCCGGAGAGATAGTATAAGGGGTAGAGCATTTGCCTTGCACACAGCCAACCTGGGTTCAGTCTCTGGCATCCCAGATGTCCTCCAGCACCTCCCAGAGTAATTCCTGGACGCAAAACCAGGAGTAACACCTGAGCTTTACCAGGTGTGACCCAAAAATGCAAAAAGAAAAATACACACTACTCCTATTGTATTATTTTGCTCAATCTTTTCTAGAGGAAGTGAGCAACATTTTCCTATAATTCCAAAAACAAACAAATAAAAAACCCTTAAATTCATATTTCACATTCTAATGACTAAACATGTTCATGGAAACGGGATAAAGATGGTCCCCCACTGTCACTGTCACTCACTGTCACTCTCCTCCCGTTGATCGTCGATTTGCTCGAGCGGGCCCAGTAATGTCTCCATTGGAGACTTTTGTTGTCACTGTGTTTGGCATATCGAATACGTCACGGGGAGCTTGCCAGGCCCTCCCCCACGGTAATGAGTCAAAAATTTATTATTACTTTTCTTACAAACAGAAACATTATTTATACCACCGCCCTCCCGAGTAAAGTTCACACAAACGTCAGCAGCATCTGTTTGAATGAATAACCATTGTTGCATTAGAATCACATCGAGTCTTGAATAATATCTGTTATATAAATTATAAAGCTTCTGTCAAGAGAGCTAGGATGTTCCATTCATGGTGCTGGTACTTTTTCTATCTAACAACCACCATTACCACACACACACACACACACACACACCCCACACATACACACACTTTCATTTTAGTACCCAGGGTCAAACCCAGAGCCTCACCCATGCAAAGCTCTGCCATCCCCAGCCCCCACAGAACACTTTGAATTTGTAGTTGATTCTAGTTTTATTGTTCATATGATTAGCCTTTAAATTTATCTTCTTATAAGTACATGCCATGACATGTGTACCTTACTTCAATATCCAGGTTATTTTACTTAACTTTTTCCCCCATAATGAAGAAATTGAAATAATCTTTACATCTTGTGGTTTGATGACAGGAGATACTGTTTTCTATCCTGTATTTTAATTTTATTCTTTGGATTTGGGGCCACCCCGGCAGTGCTGGGGTGAGGTCGGGGAAGAGGCATTGGTGGCAGGAATGAGTCCTGAATATTCTGCAAGCAAAGCATAAGCTCCAGCCCTTTGAGCTATCTCCCCAGCCCCCCAGGATACTTTTTAAACAAAAGAAACATACATGCAAGAAAAGAAAGAAAAGAGTCCAGGTAACAACTATTTTATATAAATGTGACTGTATTTTTCTTCAGGTCCAGAAATTCTTACTGAATAGAATTCGGGCAGATTCCTCCCAAATCCACATGGTTTGTAGCACTAAAACCAGATTTTCACTTGTACCAAAACAGGCAAGAGAATGAAGGCACACGCTCACTTTGTAGCAATAAAGGTCATCACACAGAGCCAGCGGGCAGGGAGGACATGGAAGGTCCCTCACAAAAGCAAGGATTCAGAGTCTTCGGGAACTAGCCTCCCCTCAACATTTGGCAAAATTCAGTCTACATACTTAGTACCTCAGGAAGAAAAAATAAATAAGAGATGCTACCTTAAAATTCAGATTGCCTATCATCAGTCTTAAGAAACGAGAGGCAAGGACGGGTGGAGGGCCAGACATCATCTATTCTTGGGTTATTCTTCCTCCCTGCGGGCCACAGAAAATTCAAGAGGCGGCTGATCACTGCTGACGTGGTCCCTCAACACTCCTGAACATTTATGCCACAAAAACAAAACCCACGTGATTGCTACCCTTTAGTCCTTTGTTAAAAAAAAAAAACAGATTAATTTGTCTGTTTCATTGGTTGGATTTGTGTGGTGCTGGGGACCGAACCCAGGAACTCCCACATGCCAGGCAAGCATTATCTTGTACCCATAAGCTCCATCCCCCGCCTCCAGTTTGGTTACCTCAAAAAGCTTAAGGTCAAGCTCCAGCCTCCCAAGAAGAAAACAGATTCCAATGACGAATGAAGACACGTGTTAAAACCAAGCAGTTTCTTCTCCTCCAGGAAGCCACAGACTATAAAAACCAGTTATTGCTTCTCTCCCGCTGATGGATCACTCCCAGGACAGAGCAGAACTCGTTTTATGATTGCAAGAGACTTTTCCCCATGACAGAGCATGGAAGATGAGTATTCGGCCTTGTTCTGAGTAGGTGAGGTAGACCTGTCTCTCGGGCCCCCCGCGCCCGCTCTCTTACAAATGTATGACAACTACACAACACAGCTCAATCTTGGCTGATATCCCAACCGGCATCTCAAGTGATCGAAGGGCCTGTTTTCTAGAGCTTGGTGCTGCACTGCAAGAGGGGGACCCAGAGGTCAGTGGGGTGCTGACCCAGCCCAGAATAAGGAAAGAACAAGGAAATGCATGGTAGGGACAATGCATCCAGGCCAAGGAGTGACTTATATTTCAGAAGTTTTCCCTAAGGGATTAGTTTTGCGAGTATCTTCCAAGTCTGCCCAGTTATTTTTTTGCTTTTTTTTTTTTGTCTTTTTACATTAAAATTAACCAAAAAAAAAATTTAACTGTTTCCAAGTATGAGGGACATACTTGGAGCTGATTCCGCATGTATTCCTAATTAATATTTCAGTGAATTACCATGAGTTTGCGTGGTTGAGAAATTAACTTTAGAGCCAAAAAAAAAAAGGAAGAAGAAGAAGTATAGGTGGGTCTCGATTTGTTTAGGTGTTTTCTTTTTGTTTTAAAAACAACCCCTAATATTAATCTTTGAAAACATAGTATATGTATATGCCTGCGAACATATACACTTATACATACATTTAAGAAGTACATACATTTCCATGCTAATGACATATAAAACTATGAGGGGGGCCGGGAGGTGTCCCTTGGAGGCAAAACGCATCACCTTGCATGTGTGAGGCCCTGGATTGGATCCCCAGCACCACAAAAAAAAAAGAAAAGAAGAAGAACAAGAACAAGAAAAGAAGAAGAAAACTGATCTGGATCATCTGATATATATCCAATTAATTCACTGCAGAAGGGGAAATAGGAACCCCAATCTAAAGTAATCAGTAAAGCTCACAGTTCATTTTTTTTCCCTTTTTTTTTCTTTTTTTGCTTGTTTGGATTTTTTTGGTAGTTCGTGGGGCGGTCCTGTGGGCCGGGGTCTAGGCTAGTGGCCACCTCCCAGCAGCTGCGAGAAGAAGCCTGGTCTGGACCCGGCCTCTGGGTCTGAGGAGAGTCCCAACTCGCTCTCCATCTGCTCCAGCTCCGACTGGTCCAGGAGTTCGAAGTCGTCGGCCTCCTCAGAGTCCGTGTCCTCACCCGCGCCGGGCAGCACCTGGACCAGCGCCTGCCTGGCACCCTCCAGCTGCTCGTGGAGGGCAGCCGTCACGGTGGCGGTGATGACATCCCCGGCCAGGTTTCTCATCAGCTGGACGTTGGGGTCACTGCCAGGAGCTGCCCCTGCCGGCCGGTCCCCGCCGCCAGGAGGGCATCTGTCTGAGCGCGCCTTCCTGCACCGGAGCCCCTGGGCTAAGCCAACACCAAACTCATCTTCATCCTCGGCTTCTGGGCTGTGCTCTAGAGCGGGAAAATCAGCAAGATCTCCAGAGAAAACATCCTCCCCAGGTCGGTCAAGGTCTGCGAAGGGCAAGCGAGAACGCACTTGAAATACAATCACTTAAGACTGACACCCAAGGACCAGCAGACACAAGGGCCAGGAATATTGCTCCATAGTTGGAAGCCTGACTCCTGAGCTGGGGGAGAAGGCAGCTGGGATAGATGATGGTTGGAGGAATCACTCAGGATGGGAGATGTGTGCGTGAAAGTAGATAAAGGACCAAACGTGATAGCCTCTCAGTATCTGTACTGCAAACCATAATGCCCAAAAGGAGAGAGAGAGTATGGGGGAAATTGTCTGCCATAGAGGCAGGGGGAGGGTTGGAAAGGGGGGGGGCATATACTGGGGACATTGGTGGTGAAGAATGTGCACTGGTGGAGGGATGGGTGTTCCGTCATGGTGTTCCATCCATGAATGGAGGGATGGGTGTTTCATGACTGAAACTTGAACATGAAAGCTTTGACCTGTATCTCTCGTTGATTCAATAAAATAATAATAATAATACTACATACTACAATCAAGGTCCCAGCAGAAAGGCTGCCTGAACCCAAAGGCACAGCACATGGCTTTAGAAGGACATCCTCTAAGCCGATGGTCGTGAGTTCAAATCCCAACTCCCTGAGCCCTACCCCCTCTCTGCACATGCTGGGCACTACCTGGGTAGCTCTGCTGTGGCCAATCTCTGGACATTACGGATGATGCCTGGCTGCACCACAGCCAGCTATGTGGGAATAACACCAAGGGTGGTGTGGCACCTCTGCCCCAAGCCCTGCAGGTTCACCTAGAAGATAGGCAAGTGCCATGACCAGGAAGTGCACTGCACCAAGCACGTGTGAGCACTGTGGGGCCCTTGCAGCGAGCACCACCACCTCAACTAAGAGTGCGAGCCGGGCAAGCATTTGTAAGCACCACAGCTAAAGGGGTGCAGGGGTAAACGCGCTCACCCAAAGTTGACCCAAGTTTGATCCCCCTAGGGTGCCCTGAGAGCTGCCAGGAACGGTCCCTGAATGCAGAATTAGGAGAAAGTGTTGAGCACAGAACAGACCTAAGGCGAGCACCATGGCCAAGTGTGCGAGCAAGCCACCTGCTGTGAGTTGTCCGACCCCCAGTGTCAAAGTCAGCACCAAAGGGAGAGGGGGAGGGAATAAACGTAAATAATTCAAAAGAAACAAAAAAAGCTTGTTTGTTTTCTGTCGCACAAGCAGCAGTGCTCAGGAGTTAGATATTCCCGATGGCACGATTCTCGCTGGTTATCTGCTGTATTAACTCTCTGATCCCTAAAGTAAACATTTTATTTTATTTAATCAATTAATTTGATTTGGGGGTCACACCAGGCGATGCTCAGGGGTTACTCCTGGCTCTGTACTCAGGAATTACTCCCAGAGGTGCTTAGGGACCATATGGGATGCCGGGGATCAGACCCAGGTTGCCAATGTGCAAGGCAAGTGCCCTACCTGCTGTACTATCGCTCCGGCCACCAACATTTTGAATATCAGAAATGATACCTAGTGTGAGCCTAAGTGCTTCTTTCAGACCCTGCCTAACTTTCCTTCTTTTAGGAAAAGTGTGTTTTTATAAAGAACCAAAAATGTCACAGAGTTATCCAGCCCAGAGCCTTGTCCTGGCCTCCTTGGCTTAGCAGATTTCCATGCTCCTTCCTAGAAGCAAGTTTGGGTGTGTAATTTTTATAACCAAGAGGCAGTCTCTCATCAAGCACCATCTGAGGATATCTGGGTCTGTGACAGTGGCCTCCAAATACAACCCGAGCAAGTTAGAGGCCAGCTCAAGGTCTTTGACCACTGGCCCAGGGACCATGCCAGCCTGCAAGTTGAAAGCCAATGGACTGCCACGTCGGTTCTAAGTAGCAGTCCACAGAATGATATGTGGGCAGGTGCCTGATCCTGAGGTGTGAAAAGGTTGGCCTAAGCCCCTCTAGGTTTGAGTAAGGGCATTTAATGACATTCTCCAATGACAAATGATGTCACAGCGCCTGCCTACATCAGGCACTCTGAGTCCTCCGGCAGGTGATGGAGTGCAAGGGTCTTGGCATGCATTTATAACGAGAGTACTGAGGAAGGGGAATATACCATCCGAAGTATCAGTCTCAGGAGTGTGTCCCTCCGAGAGCTTGAAAGTTCCGTTGTCCGTCCAGGAGACCTCGGAAACGTCCGTGTCCGACACAGACAACTCTTTGGCAGCGACTGTGAGGCTAATCTGGAGTGATAAAAATACCAGTGGCACCTCTTAAGGGCCTGCAGGAAATGTTTTGACAAAAAAAAAAAAAAACTAACATCAAGAATGCCAGAATAAAAACCTGAGAAGTGTTTTTCTTCTGAGATTGTTTAATCATCTCAGAGAAGCTGGAGAAGTCTGTTATAAGGCGACCCCTTCAGCGTTGGTGCACATCAATACATTGAGAGCCAAACCACATGGGAACAAATGGAAAACTCAACAAAAAGTACCTTAGGACAAAGAGCTGAAAAGTCTAATTCGCTGTCATCGCTATGACCTTTTTCTTTAGCTGCTTCTGTCGAGAAAACATTTGGAAGCTTTCAGTTGCCCGTTCGGCTTAGACACAATGTGACTTATCCATCTGACATCCTCGCCCCACAATCCCTCCTAGTCTCCAACACCTCCGTCTAAGTAAGTACGTGGCGTGTAACATATTGGCAGCAGTTGGGTTCCCAGGGGACGTGTTCCCATCTCTCAGTGCTTCTTGGAGCATGGGCCTGAACTAACAGCAACATCACAGGGACGTTAGAAATGCAAATTCTCAGGCTTAACTGAGTCAAAAATCTTGGATGGGGAGTGGGGAGGTGGGATAAGGATCAGGAGTGAACGTGTTGCATGCAGGAGGCCTGGGCTCAATCTGCAGCACAGTGCACCATCAGAGTAGCCCCAAGATTCACAAACAAACCAAGATTTACAAAAGCTCCACATCCTGGGTGGGCCCAGCAATCTGCTTTTGTAAGCCTTCCAAGCGATCCTGATGCTTACTATTGCTGGTGATTCTATCAGCAGGTAGGCCACAGAAAAAGCGAAAGATGAGGGCTGTGTGCCTTGCAAGCAAGACAGTAGGTCTGCTCCCCAGTTGCAGGAAAAACACAGGAGAGAAAAGAATGATTTTGGCTTTTTTTTTCCCCCAGTTTCTGCAATCCCCTAACAGGACGATTTATGGAAAGTAAATCATAAAGAGCAAAAAAGACAACGGATAAATCCTGTCGACCCTTCTCCGACAAGTTGGATTTAAAAAGTCAACGGATTATGCTTGAGGAAAGAGTAAGTCTAAAGAGGAAAATGCTATTCCTTGGAACTTGTCTTGTGATACACATTGAGAGGCAGAAGGCACCCTGGGAAGTAGCCAGGCTTACTTTATAACAGATGTGTGTTGGTATGAAACAGGACACTCAAACTTCACCTACCAGATCGCTCACGTTTCTTCTGATTAATATAGTCTCCAATTCCAAAATCTAGTTTCAGCAGAACGGACTTGATCTTGCTGCAGACTTTCTGTCCGATATCATTACACTTAAACAACGGGCAGAGAAAGGCGAATAGTACTGCAGATGAGAAAGGAGAGAGCATGAGGTTGGGACGTCTCTTCAGAAAGCTGCATCTCAGGATGCCACAAAAAGGGGCAGATTTGACTGACCAATCATTTCTTTCCTGACGGAAATAGTCTCTAATTTCTTTCCTCTCCCCTGGAATGAAATCCTCTTCTCTCCCACCCACTCACTCTCACACATTTAGGATCATTGTTTGAAATCACCTGCCGCTGAATCAAGCCCCTTCTGCCCACCTTCTTACCCTCAAAACTTACAGAAGGGAAGAACAGATTTGAACTTAGATTTCTTTTTTGTTATTCTTGTTATTTGCCATTGTGTTATGTAATGGGAATAAAAAAGAGAAAATAATTTTATCACGTTAAATGCGGTCCAGGCCTACCAGCCCACAGCCATACTATCCAACATTATCATCTAAAATAGGAACGACTCTACAACTGAATGTTATCAAACTGCCGACCATCAGATTGTCCCAGATCTATAGCTTGTGGACCATAAGGTCGCTTTTGTGGCCACACAACACTTCAAATTTTCATAGTACTGTTAGTCCGGTAGGACCACAGCAAATCTGACTGGAGAGTTGCATGGAAGCCCCCATGCTCAATGAGCCTAAACAACACAAAAGGTTCAAGTAGCACCAACCAACAAGCAGATCTTCAGACAATGATTTCGTAACATCATTGTGAGATACTGCAATCATAAATTGAGTCTTATGGGCCTAAGATTTTAGAATTCCATTGGCCTGTGTGTTGTAACAAACAATCTAAAGTAAATTTTATTGTGTCTGCCAAGGGGCAAACTGGGGTGAGTAGGTGGGAAACTGGGGGCATTGGTGGAGGGAAGGGTCACACTGGTGGTGGGATTGGTATTGGAATATCTAACGCCTAAAACAACTGTATTAGGAACAACTTGGTAAATCACAGGGCCATAAAATTGTTGTTAAAAGTAACTCAACAAAATAAATTAAATAAACAAATGCATGCCTTTTAACTGGATTTGCAAATTTAATAAAATGTCGAATACTTACATAATAGGTAGCTGAGTATAACCCCTGGGACATAACTGCCCAAGATGGTAAAAAATGTACACACGCTGCAGACCAGGAGACAAAACTGAAATAAAAGAAATAATGTTGATACTTATGCGTCACATCAACACTTATTAGAGCACAGGAACACACATATGCAATCATTTCTCTATGTGTGATTTATCATGTGGTAGGAACTGTTTTTCACAATAGAGTTCCTGTGCATTTACTTAGATCTGACCAATGACTGTGCTCTGCCTGCCTTCGTCCGCTCCAAAGACTTAGTAATTTTGGGGTCGCAGAGGTTAATTTCTTGGCATGAAGAATATCTCCTCTGAATCATGCTATTGGCTATATTACCACCAGGTACGAGAGAAGGGAGAATAAGAGATGCCCAGAATCTTTCTAGGAATTTCTAGAAAGATGGAATATAAGCACCTTGCAGTTAATTCTCCGAGTTCTCACCACCCTATCAGCCCCACCCAAAATTCATAGAGTCTAAAGCATGGTATGGAAATTAGAGGCGTTGACAGCAATAATTCAACAATTTTACACAGTTGATGAGCTACTGGGAGAGTTCTCCAGTTGTTACTAACCTTCTTCCGACCCACATCAGCCCCTCAAGCTGAGCCCTACCTCTGAACATCTAGAAACCAACTGCACATAAAATGAAAAGTCCTCGACATACAATGTGATTATTTTCCTTCTCTCTGTCACTATGGCCAAAAGTGTCTTGGCTATTTTAAGAAATTTAAAGTTCAAGATAGAAGATTCCTCCCCATTCATTTTTTCACTGATGGGCTGTACAGAAAGCTCCATAGAGGGGCTGGAGCGATAGCAAAGCGGGTAGGGCGTTTGCCTTGCACATGGCCGACTCGGGTTTGATTCTCAGCATCCCATATGGTCCCCTGAGCACCGCCAGGGGTAATTCCTGTGGCAGAGACAGGATTAACCCCTGAGCACCACCGGGTGTGACCCAAAAAGCCAAAAAAAAAGAAAGAAAGAAGGAAGGAAGGAAGGAAGGAAGGAAGGAAGGAAAGAAAGAAAGAAAGAAAGAAAGAAAGAAAGAAAGAAGGAAAGAAAGCAAGCAAGCTCAATAGACTGAGCACACACATCTTCACTGGTTTTTCAGAGCCTTGAAAATCCGACCATCCTACTTATTGGGGTTTTTCTTTGAATTTTGGTGTTAAACTGATATAAACTAAGGAAATTCATTAAGGTTATCTCTCAAAGGGACAGTCTGCCAATAGCAACTAAAGAGCAATTGTAAGAGGACTAAAATTTAGGTTAAGTTTTATTTTTTTTTAATTCTTTGGCACGGGGTTAACAAATAAAGTGGCCAATAGGTGAACAGATGAACTTGTAGAACAAAATTAAGAGTTGCTATGGAATATATATGGAATATATATGTATACAGAGGTACAGATAATTTTTCACACTCAAACAAATTAAATATCCTAAAAGCAGGTCAGTCTTCAACTCTGAACACTCATGTTTGCTTAAAGACTTAGGGTTTAAAGACAGGGGAAGCCATAAGTCATGGAAATAAGAAAGTTTTATTATAATTCTAATTTTGAAACTGTTCACAGTTTTAAAACAAAATGTACCGTATAAGAAACCTTACGTTATAAATAATATTCATATGATAAATAGTTCGTACCTGAATGTGGATGGTAGTTTAACCGGTACGTACTTAAGTTTAAAAGATTGTGCATTATCATAATACCCAAAAGTAGAGAGAGAGTAAGAAGGAAAGTGTCTGCCACCTGAAGCTGGAGCAATAGCACAGTGGGTAGGGCGTTTGCCTTGCATGCGGCCGACCCGGGTTCGATTCCCAGCATCCCATAGGGTCCCCCGAGCACCGCCAGGAGTGATTCCCGAGTGCATGAGCCAGGAGTAACCCCTGTGCATCGCTGGGTGTGACCCAAAAAGCAAAATGAAAGTGTCTGCCATAGAGGCAGGGGGAGGATTGGAAAGGGGGGGTTGGATATACTGGGGGCATCGGTGGTGGAGAATGTGAACTGGTGGAGGGATGGGTGTTTGATCATTATATGACTGAAACTCAAACATGAAAGCTTTGTAAGTGTATCTCACGATGATTCAATAAAAAAATAAATAACATACATGAAACACAGGAAAAAAGATTGTGCACTTAGAATTAGCTCATATAATGTACTTAAGTTTTTTTTGTCAAATAAAGCATATTTGGCAAAAAAAATTCACACAACTTTCTATTGAAATAGCAATGACCCTTGAAGAGTAAGTAATTCTCCCATAATAAAATAAAAATTCTATGAGCAAAAAAAAGGGTAAAATAAACCAGAAGTCTACACCCATTTTTATAACTGGAATTCAATTCTGTTATCATTAAATCACTAAATTTTCTTACTCATCGTTGAAGCCAATCAACTTGGGGCACATTAACACAGCCCCATTAGATATTTTAGTTCAAAATCTAAAAATGTCATCATTTTAATAAAATATAAATAAAAGAAATGAAGCTTCCCTTTTCCCCATAAGGATTCTAGTTCCTACTGGCGATAGCAGAGCAGGTAAGGTATTTGCCTTGCATGTGGCCGACCCGGGTTCGATTCCTCTGTCCCTCTCAGATAGCCCGGCAAGCTACCGAGAGTATCCCACCCACACAGCAGAACCTGGCAAGCTCCCCGTGGCGTATTTGATATGCCAAAACCAGTAACAACAAGTCTCACAATGGAGATGTTACTGGTGCCCACTCAAGCAAATCAATGAACAACAGGACGACAGTGCTACAGTACTACTGCCTTCAGTGATTAAAATATAAAAATGAACATTCAGCTACAACATTGTCACTTTACTATGCTCAGAATGTGTCTGAGGGACAGGAGAGACAGTGCAGGAGTCAAGGCACTTGACTTCCACTGCTGACATTGGTTCGGTCCCAGGCACAGAGCACAGAGCTTTCCTTCCTTCTTTCCTCCCCCCTTCCCATGCCCCAGGGGTTCTGGAGGTCGCTCCCAGAAGACTAGGAAACCACAAGGTGCCAAGGATCGCATTGGGGTTCCCACCTGTGCTCCAGTCCTTCGCACCATCTCTCTCCAGTTCAAGGTTTCGTTTCATCAATACATCCTAAGTAAGATTCTCCCCTCACTGGTGCTGTTGAGTTCGACCTGGTGGTACTCAGAGGTCACTCGTAAAAGTGCTCAGGAGATCATGCAGTAACAAGGGTCCACCTGGGCCTCCTACTTGCAAAGCACACCCTCGGTCCACTGAGGGATCTCTCTGACCCCAAGAATCTTCTCTATTTAAATCAAAAGTGAGCTCACCCCACCCCTGGCAGCGCCACCTCAGAGCTTATTGGAAAGCCAGGTATGAGCCAGTGGTGACGGGGCAACTGCAGCCTCATGGGAAGGGGGGTGGTACCGGTTCGTCCTTCACGCACTACCGAGGCCATAAGTTGCCCCCCACGAGCGGATCTCCGGCACGGCCATAGCACCAGATGCACAGAAACCAATCTCGTAGTTATCTGGCTCTTGGCAGAAATCCCTCCAGACTTAATTAGTAAAATATCAGAAATCCAAAACCATGTGGCTGTGACATCATATGGTTCTCATAACCAGCTATAAAAACCAAATTATTTCACAATGTCTTTTCAGCAGTTCTGATTGTTGGGAAATCCTGAACAATAATGGTGCATCTTTTGTCAAAATAATGAATGTAATCAAAGTAGAGAGTTAAGCGGAAATCATCTGCCTCACAGGCATTGGGAGGGGTGGGAGGGGGGTATATTGGGGTTCTTGGTGGTGAAAAATGAGTACTGGTGAAGGGAAAGGTGTTTGATCATTGTATGACCAAGACTTAAACCTGAAAGCTTAGTAACTTTTCCCACAGTGATTCAATAAATAAATAAATATAACAAAAAAAATTCAAAAGTGATTAAATCGATCCTTTCCAGAATCACCTTCACAGGATTCTGTGTTCATTTCACTCCCTTTGTGGAACCAGGCTGATTTGATTTTCTTAAAGACTTCTGTTTTCCTGCATGGCCTGGCTGCTAGGACTAATCATGTTAGTTAGTTAGTTAATGGGCAAGATAAAACAGAAAGCCAAAGAGCTGGAGAGTACAGTGGGGAGGGCACTTGCCTTGCACACCCAACCCATGTTGGATCCCCAGCATCCCTGGAGCACCACCAGGAATAATCCCTGAGAGCCAGGAGTAGCCCCTGAGCATTGCCTGTGTGACCCAAAACCTTTTTTTTTAAAGCCAATTCCATTTGAAAGGAGCAGGGTGAGGATTTTCTCGCGTTATCATTGACCCTTGCTGGCAATGGCTTTTGTGGCATGTTCCCAGTTACTTGGACTTAGAAGTGGACAAGCTGATAGCATAGGTGGCTCATTTGTTTCCGAGTATACTTCATATTTGAAGGCGCACACACTAATTCCCCTGTACGGGGGCACTTACCTTGCCAGGGCTCTGCTGTTTAAAAAGAGACATTTCTTGAAGAAACATGCTCAAGTTCATCCATGATTCCGCAATACAGTGGCTGAGCCTGGGCCTTTCGTCTGACTTGCTGTTGACAACTTCCCAGCTAAAGAGAGAAAAAGAAAACCCAAACTGAATTTTGGGTAATTCACTCAATACTCAATGTTTCGTGGCTGACCAGGGCCGACCAGGTTCGATTCCTCCATTTCTCCCTCTCAGAGAGTCCGGCAAGCTACTGAGAGTATCTCCCCCGCAGGACAAAGCCTGGCAAGCTCCCCTTGACGTATTCGATATGCCAAACACAGTAACAAGTCTCATAACGGAGACATTACTGGGCCCGCTCAAGCAAATTGATGAACAATGGGAGGACAGTGTTTCAATGTTTCAAGATTAAAAAAAAAATTAAGTATTGAGAGCCCCCTGTTAGCCAAACTTTCTGGAAAAGCCCTGTGAATCCTGACGTAATAAGCCAGGCACTCACCTATGGATCTCAGGCTGAAAAAAGCGACAGGGGGTGAGTCGACCAACTACACAATCATCCAGTTGCAAGAAGGCAGACACGAAAGATGGAGGTCTAGGACGCAACACCAGGTCCTACTCCGGGCTCTTTCTTGGGGTCACTCCCAGTGGGACTCAGGGGACTGGGCAGTGCCGGGGACCAAACCCAGCCCTCCCGCATGCTAAACCTCCTCGCAAGTCTGCTATGTCTCTGGCCCAGATGTCACCTTTATGCTAAAATCTAGAAGCAGTGCTCCATGAAGGCTTTGAGAATTCCAGGAAGAACTCTTCTGAAGTGAGAAAGAGCTACACGGGCTCCTCCAGCAAGTGCAGGCGGGTCCCAGCAAAGATAACGGGAAGAAAGACATGCTAGGATTGCCAGGAAGGGAATTAGGAACCCAGGCCAGATGGGGTCTTGCAGGATTTGCTCAGAAACGCTTCCCGTGGGAAGGATGAGGAGAACACAGCAGTGGTAAAGACGCCTTAGAATTCATCTTAGAACCATCACTGTCGTCAATACCAAGACGCATTTTCAATATCTGCCACCATCAGTCAGCTCCACCAGAAACAGTTCATGTACAACCCAATCTCACCAAACCTCACTTTCCCCTGAATGTATTTCCCCTAGGGTCATCATCACAGAACACTCTGAGAGTGACGCATGGACCGAGCACTTAGCCCCTGCCTGCCTTCACCTCCCTACAGGAACTTCTGGAAGCTGAGAGTGACTAATAACCATCTGGGAAGAAAATCCCTTCTCTGGTGAAGGGGTCACTCTGCAGAGAGCACAGGCTGGCACATACCTGGGGCCATCAGACCCCCTTGCCAATGACCCTTTAAACACTGGCAAGCCACTTGCGTATGGCCACTGACCCTAGCAATAGCCAGCAGGCATTGTTGGGTGAGACGTGCCCAGGCTTGTGACGACTTGGGCCATCACCCGGAGATATGGGGAATTATGCCGCTGCCAGCTTCAGTACTCAGTACTCGGAGTCAGACAGGGCCCCCACGGCCAGCGGTGCACAGGGCTTCCTCCCGGCTTTGCTCTGGGATCGGCCAGGCGGCGTGGCCAGGAACATGTGTGGTGTGGGGAAAGGAAGCTGGTCGGACGTATGCTAGTCAAGCACCTTGTCCGCTGTCCTTCTGATCTGACCCGAGTGGGGTTAAAATACAAACAAACAAGCGAACAGGGGCCAGAGAGATAGTACAGTGGGTAGGGAGCTTGCCTTGCATGAGGCCGACCCAGGTTCTATCCCCAGCATCCCATTTGGTCCCCCGAGCACCGCCAGGAGTAATTACTGAGTGCAGAGCTAGCAGTAACCCCTGAGCATTGCTGGGTGTGACCCAAAAAGAAAAAAAAAGCAACAACACACAAGCAAACAAACAAACAAAAAACCCAGTTTGAATAGTTGTGCTTCTATTAAGTCACCAATCCTGTCCCTCATAATAGATCATTACTAGTAAAGATGCGAATTCCAATAAGAATATGGAAATAAACTAAATAAAGGTTTCCAGTGAAAAATAGAATTATCAGGGGCCTGAGTGATAGTACAGTGGGTAAGGCATTTGCCTTGCACACGGCCGGCCCAGGTTCGATCCTTGGCATCCCATATGGTCGCCTGAGTGCAGAACCAGTAGTAACCCCTGAGCATCACTAGGTGTGACCCACAATGCAAAAACAAAAACAAAACAGTATTATTAAGGGAAGAGCCCTGAGCCATGGGTGCAGGAAAGCATATATCAGGGTGAGCCAAATCTCGGAATGCAACACCAACAGCCCAAAGACAAACCAACACTATTTTCGCCCTCAGATAGTCACCTACACAGAAACTGCAGGTCTATTGGGCTGCAGAGATAGTAACAGTGGTAAGATAACTCCTTGCATGCAGCTGACCACAGTTTGATCCTCAGTACACGTATGACCCCAAGCATGACCAAGAGTGACTCCTGAGCACAGAGCCAGGAATCAGTCTTGAGCACTGCCAGGTGTGGCCCAAATGAAACACTTGCTAAAGCTTGGGGAGAATATTTGATCCCGTCTGATCTACAACTACAGGGGAGAGAACAAAAAGTAGAAAACCAGGTTGGGGTTCGTGTACCGGAGCAGATTAGTACAGCAGATTCTGGCATCCCATATGGCACGAGAATTGAACCCGGGCTTGGCCATCTGCAAGTGGCTTAGCCCCTGTACTACCTCTCCAGAACTCGAACCTATTTTTACCTTCGCAAATCTACTTGAAGACAGCGTTTAAGTTTGTTTACACTGTACACATGTCTCTGTGCTGTTGAAATGCTCCAGAAACAGAACTCAAATTCACTGTGCCATTTCAGAAAGCAGCACACAGAGTTCCCACGAGGGGGCGCCGTCAGATTAGAAAACGTCATCCTCACTCTCAGAAACGAACGAATTCTTTAAGAGAGAACATGTGCTACCAGCCTGTTTCATCTCCAGGACCCAAAGTGTCTGGGTCACTAGAGGAAACTGATGCTGAAACAAATGAATCTTGGCACGGAACACACAAACTCTTGTCAGCAGCACTTCCCTTCCGTGCATTTCAACAAACCAGGGTCCACTGTCAGGGACTCTCCAGGATTTAGAGATCACGAAGGCATGGCGCAAATAACTTCACATACAGAGAGAGAGAGAGAGAGAGAGAGAGCACTAAGCCCATCTTTATAAAACGACACCAAGTTAAATCTAGAACTATGGGAGAGAACAAGAAGGGGAAAACCAGGCTGGGGTCATTAGTGTATGTCAAGAGACCAATTGTGGGTCCAGAGCAATAGTAGAGAGGAGCCCTGGAATCCCAAATGGTGCTCCAGAGTCGTTTCTGAGCACAGAGTCAGGAGTGAGCCCTGGAGAAACCACACAAGAGCATCGTCGGGTGTGGCCCCAACTCCCCACCCTCCCACCCCACCCCCAAAAATCTAGAAATTGAGTTTCCATACCACCCAGTAGTACTACTCCTTGGAATATACCCTGGCAGCTCAAAGACACAGTGCAGAAAGGCCATCTGCGTTCCTATGTTGATGGCAGCATTTCTAGTCCCAACAGCCAGAATCTGGAAACAACCTGAGTGCCCAAGAATAGACGACGGGATAAGGCAACTATGGTACATCTACGCAATGGAATACTATGCAGCTGTTAGGAAAGATGAAATCGTGAGATTTGCTTATATGTGGATGAACAAGGAGAGTATCGTTCTGAGAGACATCTGTCAGAGAGAGGGGGCACAGACGTAGAATGACTGTTTGCTGGATGTAAACAAACAAACAAGCAACACAAAGTATGAGACTAATTCTGAAAGATAGTAGAAACAAAGGCCAGGAGGCCTGGTCCATGGTAGGAAGTTGCCACGAAGGAAGAGGGGGAGGGCACTCTTCCCTCTTCCTCACAGAGAAGGGACCACTATGAGGATGATAGTCGGAAATGATCACTCTGGACAAGAACTGAGTGCTGAAAGGAGGGAGAGTGATATGCAGTGTGCCATTTTAGTAACAGTAATGCAAAGCACAGTGGGAAATGAGAAAGAGAAAGAGAGAGGGGGAGAGAGGGAGAGAGAGAGAGAGAGAGAGGGGTGACTGCCATCATAGAGGCATGGTGAGGTGGGGGGCTAGGGGGCACCTGTGGAAGGAAAACTGGGACATTAGTGGCTGGAAATGTGCAATGGCAAAGGGACAGGTGCTGGAACATTGTATGACTGAGACTCAATCACCAACAAACTTTATAACTCTATCTCATGGTGATTCACTGTCACTGTCACTGTCCTCCCGTTGATCATCGATTTGCTCGAGCGGGCCCAGTAACGTCTCCATTGGAGACTTTGTTGTTACTGTGTCTGGCATATCGAATACTCTCAGTAGCTTGCCGGGCTCTCCGAGAGGGGCGGAGGAATCGAACTCGGGTCAGCCATGTTGGCTGCGTGCAAGGCAAACGCCCTACCTCTGTGCTATCGCTCCAGCCCACGGTGATTCAATTAAAAAAAAAATTTTTTTTAAAGAGACCAATTGGTTAAAGAGAGCCTCCTCTCATTGTCCTTTCTCCAGGATAATAAAACTATATATAGTACACTAGTGAACTGGAAAGCCAAATGCAAGAAACAAGAAGAAGAAACTCAAGATACATTCTTATAACTGAAAGCTGGTTTCCGAAAAGCAAAAATAGCAGGTTTTTAAAAATATGACAAAGTTCAAATCCCTCCACATATTTCTCAAGCTCAAGATTTGAGGAGGTAACTTCTCCGAGATGGCACTGCTAAAGTGGATGAAGAGAGACAGACATACAGGTAGACAGAGAGACAGACAGAGACTGAGAGAAACAGAGAGAGAAAGAGACAGAGAAAGAGGCAGAGACAGGTAGAGAGAGATCGATAGAGACAGATGGACTGAGACAAAGAGGGGGGGAGGAGGGGAGGAGAGGGAGCAGTCACGGCACGCAGGGCAGGGTTGGGACACGAGTGACTGCTGGGGTCTGGCTGGAGTTCCAGGGCCCTCCCAGAACTAAGCACAAAAGGCAAAGCCATCGCTGATGTTCCTTCTGGGGACCCGTTCCCTTTCTCCCCTGAGCTGCCTTCTATGTATTCGCTTGGGGGGCATTTGCAAGGAAAA